AATAGCTTCTTGTTACTACTAGTAAGGCACCTGTTACTACTAGCGTGGCACTTGTTACTAGTAACAAAAAAGCTATTAGACATGTCGTTGCGCGTTGCCGTGTGGCTGTCCCTGGCGCCCGGGGACGTGGGCAGGTTTCAACTCTACGACGTGGGCGTGGCGGCAACGCAGACAGGCAACACATGGGACAAACGATGCCGCCGTAGTCTCGAGTTGGAAGAAATATGAAGGATAAGACTGAGATCAACTTGGTAAATGCCCCCAAAAACTGGAAGAAAGACTTGGGGAAATGCCTTAGACCTGAATGTGTTTGAACGCCTTTCACGCTATGCCGCTATGCTGTTTGGAAGAAAGCTGCGCTGTTGTTCCTCATTTTAGCTTGGAGCTCATGTCGAGGACGCAGGCTCAATGTTGCTGACGTCAAAGCCAGGATCCAAAAGACAATTGGATGTATGATGAGCAAGAAGCTACTGGTAACGAAGGGCGTCGCTACTAGGAGCAACAAGCTGCTAGTAGCTCCTGGCATTACTACTAAGAACAAGAAGCTATTAGTAAGAAAGGCATCGCTACTAGTCGCTTCGCTGCTCTTAGCTCCTTCGCCTCGTGCCTTTCACTGTGAGGTGTTGACTGCAATGAGCACCGAGTCGTGCAGTATTCTGGCATATCACATGGATGAACGCCACTCGCCAGCAATTGCACCGCAGCACCGTGCTTTTGCCTCGTGCTTTCGCTGTTTCACCGAGGCAAGTTACCCATCCAGGAAGCCAAGGACGCGGTTGCACGGCGTGCTCGTCGTGCTGTTGATGGTTTTTATGTGTATCCTTCAACCCAATTCTCATAATCTATCCCGATTAATTGAAAATCTGATCTGAGGGCTTTCTGCTTTGCAGTCACTTGTGGTTGTCCTCCTTTGATTGCTCTTCTTTGCCCATCTTGTTCGCACAGGAAGATTGACAGAGCATCGTTTCACGACAGCTTGAATCGATTCCAGGACAACTTCGGCAACCTGATGCTGGAAACCTCATCCTTGGCAAAGCTCGACACAGCAATGTGTCACTTGGTAGGAACGCAAAGAAAGAACGCAGAACGCCCGGTTCAGTGGGCGGGCAGTCAGATTCCAACACTCCAAGTCTCACTCGTTCTTTTCATGGCTTGGTGTTTGGATCGACCGAGGTCTAGATGATCCCTCCTGCAAGCTGCTGCTGTGCTACTTTGGGGGTCCACAGGCTGGAGTGAATTAGAAGATACAGTCCACACGCATGAACGAAGAAATGGGAACTCCCATAACAGGGCCATTTCGACATGATTCGCAACGATTCCTGTGGGCCATGTGGGCCTTTTGACGTTGAGGAGTTTCCCATCACGGCAAGAGAATCTCTGAATATTGGAGCCGTTCCGGCAGTGGCCTTGGTTTCTCTGTCTGGAAGTGTTGCGAACGAACAAAAAGGGCAGAAACTAACGGGTGTTGTTTAAAGAAAAACTTCCAAGTACGAGAGTTCAAAAAAAAACTGTTCATCAGATGTTTCTTGAGATTGATATTTCTCAGTTCTTAGGCTTTGCGGACGACCATACTCTACCGTGGAGCTCGCGGCAGGCCGATGTTCAGATTTCGGATTCAAGGGATCCAAGGAGCCTTACCTACTAGTAACAAGGACGCTACTAGTAGCTCCTGGCATCGCTACTAGGAGCAAGGACACTACTAGGGGCTCCTGGCCTTACTACTAGTAGCAAATAGCTACTAGTAGCTCCAGGCATTATTACTAGTAGCAAATAGCTGCTAAGGCTACTAGTAGCGACGCATTTGTTCCTAGTAGCGATGCCCGTGTTAACTAGTAGCTTCAATAGCTAATCCAAGGAACCGAAATCACTGTGTGTCGTTGTCTGTCGGTGCTTCAACCACAACTCCAGGCTGGAAGTCGAGAAGCAGCCGAGCACTCAAAGTTGCATGCTTTTTGCGTGTTTTTTTCCGTGGTTGTTGAAAAGCTTCTCTTTTTTGGCACCGTTTTCCCTGAGAGTCGTGAAGATTTGGTTTGTCCTAGGACCAGCGCTTCGGGCAACATCAGCTGGATTTCAGTTGATGAGGTTGCCACTTTAGGTGCGGAACTTAAGTTTCCCTAACAATCTAGAAACCAAATGAATAGTGCGAGCGCTTTTTTAAAGTAGCTCCTTGAAGAAGCGTGAGCTATCCTAGCTACTTAAGCTACTAGCTACCTACCTAGCTTTTACTAGCTACCTAGTTAGCTCTACGGCCTACCCTCTCAGGGATAAAAGAAACTCATTTTTACTAAGGGAAGGAGCTATTCTGATGAGTCTTCTAATTCGTCGTGAATTCTCGTTCGCATTTTGGCCCTTCTTTGCGAAGGTGGAATTCTGGATCCAGGGCAACAGTGTCTCTCGACAGAATCCCACCGCTTTCCATGCAGAATGAAGCCCAAAAAAGAGCGTTTCTCAAGCAGGTTTATTTGCTGTGATGTGTTCCCAACGGTTGTTTGATGCCTTTTTGTGAGGGCTTGGGGCCTAAACACTCAGGCACTGAGCTCGCAGATGCCATTGCTCAAGGAAGGGTCCTGGCCTCAGGTTCGAAGAGTAGACTTGAATCTTGGAGTTTACGAACGCATTTAATTAGAAGCCTTCGTCTTGTTTGCTGATCCGTTTGGCCCCTCGACAGACCTTGACACAGTAGCAGTAGGGGGGGACTTAAGTTTCCCTAACAATCTAGAAACCCAATGAATAGTGCGAGCACTTCTTCAAGGAAGCTATCCGAGCTTAAGCAAGGTGCTAGCTTACTTAATCAACTAGGCGCCTACTTAATGAAGTATGTAGGGGGGAGCAGGCTTAAAAAAAAACAGACTAGTTTCAGCAAGAGCGACAAGAAGTGACTTCAGCTTCAATCAGGTCATTGGTTTGCCCAGCAGTTTGAGCGATTCCTTCCTGCTGGACGAGCCAGCGGGCATGTAGGGCCTCTCAGGGAGCCTGCTCATTGTTCACTCCTTGTTACTCCGAACCACTTCTTGCTACCCAACTGCCCTTAGCTTGTCAGCTGCCTATATGAACCCTTTGGTATCCTTTCAACGTTGTTCGTTGGTGTTCGCTTGTTTTGCTCAGGTACTATGCATGCATCCTGGACAACGCTGCAGACGCTGTCAAAAATGCACCCTTGAACTCTGTCCAAGTCCCAGAGAACTGCAATTCTACCGTAATGCGGAGAACTCCAATTTCTTTTGCCCGCTCCCCCTCCTCCCTACTTAATTGAGTAAGGGAGAGGTAGCTACTAGCTGCAAGTAAGCTACTACCGACAGGACGCAGGATAGCTCGCGCTATTCATTTGGTTCCTAGATTTTTAGGGAAACTCAACTACTAGCGATGGCCTCCAACCTAAGAGCAATGGGCCCCAACCCGGGCCCTGTCCCGTCCTGTGCCGTCTTCACGCTGCGAGGTCGGTACCTTTGAAGTGAGCGAGGTCATCACCAGCATCGTCCAAAGCGCTGCATCCACTCGGACCACCTTGAGACTTGATGCTCTCCGGCAGCAGACATCAAGAAGCGCAAGCATATATAAGGCCAAGGAATTGTTTCAACGTGTATGCACAGATGCTAACGAGATGGAAACGGAACGATGCACGTGGTTCAAGAAGAAATAAGAAAACTGTAAGTAACCTGGTTTGAGTTGGGATTTGTGTTGGACTTTTTCCCGTATCAAGGGTCTAACTTTTACTCGAAAGACTTCCTTGGAGAGACTGCCCGTCAGAGCATCACTCAGGTCGCTGCCAAGCTTCCTGGAGTCCTCACTTGTGTCATCAAGGACCCAGAGGCAGAAATTTGTGTGGCCCAAAATTGAAATTTGTGAACCGTTCTTTCCTAATTCTCGTGGTTCGTGTTTAGACCGTTTGGACTGTCTTTGGGTTTCAGCCTTTCTTTGGAAGCAGTACTTTAGCAAGTGTGCGACGGTCGCGTCAGAATTATCCCCTATCCTTGCGGTCCTTGTTCAGGTCCTTTGTTACTAGTAGCAAGGTGCCTTACTAGTAGTAACAAGCTACTAGCAGTAAGGCACCTTGCTACTAGTAGCTTCCGGCTACTAGGCCTTTCCGTTTTGTTCTTTTGTCCTCGTTGTCCTTTCGCAGGTGACATCTACAAAGGCCCAAGAGATTTTAGCCGCAGCAGCAGCAGCGGTTGAGGGGTTCACCGGCGCTGGGGCTGCACAGTCGGTGGCTTAGTCTTGGGTCACGACCTGTTGAAGGGTCTAAAAGTCCAAAAGAAGGAGGTCGAATTGTCCAAAAGAAAGGATCTAAATCTAAACGAATCTAGATCTAAAGCTCTATGTCTTTCTGTTTGCCGAAAAAAAACAAAAAAACATCACAGGAAACACGTTTACATCGCATGTCCCGCGTGTCCGGTCTGCTCCTCGAGGCAGTATGCTTTCGCTCAGCGATCCGCTTTGCTTGATTGGCTGCAAAGTCCGGACTGACGATGTGCGATGTGCTGACGTAACGGCGAACGCATTCTGCCAACGAAGCGTCCTTAAGACATAGAGAAAGAGAAAAGAAAGGTCGGACAAAGCAAATGAATGAAAGACAACGGAAATGGGATAAAGAGCAAGATTTTATATAACATCATTTCGACATTGACGGCTGTCAAGAACAATTGTGATGTTCTTCTTTGTATTTTTGGTCAAAGAGGACAACACCCTGGCACTTGCACTAGTGACGGTTCCTGCTGCTGTACCGCCCAATGTGACTGTATCACTGGTCCTGGCTGGATCCTAAGGGAAGTCGATAGATCACGCACCAATGATTTGGTTTCTAGGATGTTTAGGGAAACTTGCAGTCTTTGTTTTTTCTTTCAATAGCAGTCTTCATGCGCTTTGATCTCTAAAACTGCACACTCGGAGTTTCTCCGAGGCATCCTTGCTCACCGTGGACTTTGTCCCGGTCTGGTGTTGGCATTCAGCCACGCAGGTGCCACTGACCGAACCCGTCGTCGGGTCGGTCTCAGTCCCGTCCCCTCGGTTCGGTCAGGAGACCAAGATGGTGGTGCCCAGCGATCCGAACGGACTGCAGTTCAACTTGCCGGGGCAGGCAGGGCGGCGCGCAGGGTGGCGGGACGCGGCGGGAGCAGCGGTCGAAGTGCTTGATGCGCGATGTTTTCAGCAAAAGAGGTTTGGGCCAGGTATGCTATTTTCCAATTCAGGTATGATATTGTATGAACATAGTGCAACAATTTCTTCAGCTTGGTAGAACATTGCACTTTCTTTGTCAAGGCACCCTTAGCACATACTCTTCCGACTTTCCTGTGGCCTGGCGCTGCCTTTGTCGCCACTTGGAACAAGCTAGAAGTTGCAACTGTAAAGCAGGACAATGTTGGAAGAAATAGGAGCTTTCATTAACAGACAGGAACAGCAAGATTCTTGATTCGAGTAGCAAAATGTGGTTCGGTCTACGACCAAACATGGCCTTTTGGCCTTCTGCCTTTTGCAAGTAGTTGGAACTGCTTAGTGTGCTTTCTTCATGATGTTTTGGGTGGCTTTGATGTTTCCAATGTGACTTCCACTGTAGGCCGGCCACACACCGTTCATTCTCAAGAAAAGACCTGCAAGTGAGGTGTTTATGGAGAATGTCGTTGACACTTCACAATCGCGAGTGAAGATGGTCAACAACACCATCGAATGTGATGCATCCACCTATTCCGAGGCCGCACTGCGCCACTGCGCATGCTGTCAACACAGCGAGAAGTGTCCATTCCTCTACCCTCAAGGAAATGTTGATCACTACTAAAGACTCCAAGCGCAAGAAACCCTTTTGAGTCTTGGCCGTAGGTCAGGTGTACCAGCAAGAACGCGTTCTTTACGTTTCCAAACGCAGTCTATTGATGTGGAGATATGTTCATTGTGAGAACCTTGTTTAGATCGAAGCCTTTAGATTGTCATGAAAGCCTCTGAAAGGGCTATTCTTGACTAGTTGTTTTTGGGAAGTACATGTTGCTATTTGGGTGGAAGAAGTGATCACTCAATAGGAGAAAAGAGTGTGTTCTATGTCGCGTGACAGTTTTCGAGATCTACAATTGTGTTGCCTTGATTCTTTTCAATAAAACTAAAAGGGACTGAAATCTTAAGTCTTCACCTCCAAAATGCTTGAATCTTTAGCCGTAGCCCCGGCTTCATGGAAACAAGTGGAGGATTATTGTTTCCAAGAACACCGAAGTTTCCAAACAGTTCTAAAATATCAATTGCAAAGAGAAATGTGTGTTCAAAATGTGAGACACAAAGACACGGAAAACAACGTAATGTCGAACGTTAGAAGTTCTAGAAAATACAAAATCAAGAACTTTAGGGCTCTTTTGTCAGGTTTGCATTTTCAACACGTGATTGTGACCGCGTCGCATGTTCACCGTCGCAGAGTGGTTCTCTCCCACTTCAAAGGAGTGGAAAAGTGGACCGTTTCAGTGGAGAGCATGTACCATGTCACCAGAAACGCATGCTATACGCCGTCAAACTTCACCAGTGGTGAAAAGTATCACTTCAACAACATTCCGCTGGCGAGAATCAGAACATCTCCAGCAAGAACCTACGAGGTGAGCTGCAGAAAGAACCTACCACATCACCAGAGAGGAAAGCCACTAGGAGCAAGGACGCTACTAGGCGCTCCTGGCATCGCTACTAGCAGCAACGAAGCTACTAGGGCTCCTGGCCGTACTACTAGGAGCAAGGAGGCTTTATTTCAGCGACACCCTGCCGGCCACTACAGGTCCCAATATGGCTTACACCGACAGCAATGGTTCACCAGCATAAGCAATCCGCCATCTTCGCTGGCTTACCCTAGCACGTTAGCAACATGTGAGGGGATGTCAGGGGTAGTGACCGGGGTGCCAAGTCATTTAGTTGAAAATTCTGTCTTTTGATTTGCTCCCATTTCTTCCCTTTCTTGGGACACTCCTGTGCGCTTGCAGGCCATTCCTGTGGTCCTCAACACGTCTGGGCAAGAACAGCCCATCAAGGCATACCTGACAGCCTCATCGCAAAGCGCTCAGTTTTCGTATAGTTGCGAATGCCCTTGGTTGAGGCTCAACCACATTGATTGTTCTTTTTGCTCAACTGCTCAACCATGTTGATGTTTAAACCTTGATCATTTCCGAGGTTCAAGAGAATGTTTTGTTTCTTCGAGCTCCCTGCATCTCTTCCAATTGCAGTCAGCGCATGGACCTTAGATTTTGCTGAGCTTACAAAGTTGTGACAACAGGTTCTTATGAAAGTGGCAGCATGTGTTCTTTGAATGTCCATGTCATGCTCTGAGGGAGATCAGGGCACCGACCTTCAGTTCGCATCCGTGCCTTGTCCAAGTTTTGAGCACCGGAACCGGAACACACAAGGCTGTTTTGACAAAAGTGCTTTTGTTCCTGCTCATGTGTCCATTCACATTGGAGTCATTAGAGTATTCAAGACCTAAGGGTGCTAGCAAGGACCCACTTTGATCCGTTCTCGTCATCAGGAGCTCCAACCAAGCCTGTCATTGATCGTCGATGATGCCTACATCCAGCACATGCCCCTCAGCTGAAAAGCCTGGTGTTGCAGTAAACGTACAAACACACCAAAGACGAAAGGATCTGAGTCTCAGCCATCAAGGCCAAAAAAAGTTCCACCTGCAATCAGTAAGCCCAAGACAGACAACAGTTTTTGGTAGAAAACTGGGTCTTGTGTGTAAGTGACTTTTTTGGATGTTGGCAGTGACGTTGACCACAGGAGTCGCGGATTGGCCTCCAATTTGGTCTTGTACGACACAGCCCCCGGAGAGTTAGCACAGGCGGAAACCGTGAGTTGCATTCGTTCGGGCCGAACAGGGTCTTTGTCTTTTGGGCCTTCACCTGGTCCTTTTTCTATGGATATTTGGTCAAGGTGTCTTTTTTACTTCAGAAAATGTATCTTCCCTTCGTCGCCTCTCAAGGCATTCATTTTGGATGAAACAGTCTTTGCCCCAGAGCGGCCAAAGCGTTCCAAACGAGAGACGCAGTGATTCTCCAAGACCAAGCGGGCTTGCCACACCGCCAGACGGCATTTAGCGTCTCTTAGAGAGAGACCGCCTCGTAGTAAGGACTTCAACCAGAACGGAGGCTTTTGCCTCCCAGCTCTTGGATTGGAAGCCTTGAACTTCGAGCCAGAGGCCCCGAAAGAAAGAGGACTCTTTCAAGACTGCTAATTCTTGACCCTTTATGGATTCTGTCTTGGAAAGCAGAATATGTCATCATGCGTCAGCTTTGTGGGAAAAAGTCACATGTTCTCAACGTGCCAGACTGCTGCGAGCTATATCCAGCGAGTCGCAGCTGTCGAAATCCCAGACAATGTGCAGGAACAAATCCAGTCAACCCAAAGAAAAACTAATCGGCACACCTGCAAATAGTGTTCAAGGAGCATTCTTGTTTAGCAAAGGATGAGGGACAGACCCAGTGGGCAACGGTTTGTAAGACTCGTGTGAAGAGGAAACTCCCAGAAAGAGTGCTGTTGTTGCACACAGAAAAAAAGATATGTCTTAAATGTAGTAACAAGTGCCACGCTTCTAGGAACAAGTGCCTTACTAGTAGTAACAAGAAGCTACTAGTAACAAGTGCCACGCTAGTAGTCTCAACGACATTTGGCTAAAAAAGGGTCGGTCAAAAAGTCATCTTGGAAAGCTGTGAAGGCCGTTTCAGCACCAGGTGCAGCTGAAGACCGTTTCGGTTCTGCCAACGCCGGTGAATTTGGCGACGCATTTTGCTCGTGGTCTCAGTGCTTGGTGTCGCGAATTTGTTTGTGAAAAAAATATAAAGAAATTAAAAAGACGTAATGGAAAAACAAGAAACGGCCTTCCTTGTTTCTTCTTATTCAAGAGGTCTTTAGGTTTCTTTCTGTGTTCTTTCTTTGCTCACCTTTCTTGCATCATCAAGAGACCTTGAGGTTTCTGTGACCGAAGACGAAACTCTTGGGCGCCTTGGCTCTTTAAAGAGCAAGACTTGAGAAAAAGACAAGACTCCTTGGCTTTTGTCCTTCTTGTTTTGTTGTGTTTTTCTTCCAAAAAGAGAATGAAAGCCTTCTTGCTCCAAGAACATTTCAAGTTCAAGACCTGATAGAAGCAAGGCCTACCTAGAGGTGTCCACAACTCCTTCGTTTGATTCGCATTCGCTTGAAGCTGCGTTGGGTGGTGTCCAGGCTGTCCATCGGACACAACTATGTCCTGTGCTATGTGGGATCCGCAGACACCACGCGGGCTTGGGCCTCGATGACGACGGCGATGACATCCAAGTAAATCCAAGTGTTGGAAGCATATGAAGCTTCTTGTTCCTAAGAAGCCAAGAAAAACTCGTGGTCGACAGAGAAACATTCGTGTCATATCTTGTGTGGCACACTCTGAAACGAGGTCTTCAACAAGATTGGAAGCGTCATCACTGTGAAGGACATCATTTTGGCTTTGGAGAAGGAACAACGGCCACAGGGTGAAGAAGCTGCAACTTCCAGGGAGATCAACGTGGTGGTTCAGGACGAGAGAACGATATTTCGACGTACAACGATGAGATTCGCACGTGATTTCTACACGCAAAACTTGAGAAATCTGGCGAAACGAATGCCGAACAGTGGCTGGAACACGAATGGCCGCTGGTGCAGGCTTCCTTGAGAGGATCCATCAGCTGCATAGCAACAACACTAACTTTCAGTCGACCTCCCGTGGTCCACGCCTCGAAGATGGGAGGGACGAAGCAACCGCAGTAGACATTCGACATGTCGCGACAGCTGAAAATGTTCTAAAGTAGATATAGCCTGATATAATAGGTAGCCAACCAAGGCCTTTCTTGAAGCTTCTTGCTGAGGCAGAGGAAATAGCAGGTGACTATGCTCTTACCTTGCCACAGGACTGTTTCGTCACGGGCGCAACAAGGGCTGCGTGTTCATTGTGGCTGTGGTGTTGTGTCTTGGGACAACTGAGAGGACTTCGTCCCTGTTTTCAACGAAAATGAAGTTCTCGGAAGAGCTCTTCAGATTCCGGCTGCTCGGATTGAGATTCCATTTCTTGTTCGTGGTATGTTCTAAAGTGAGCGAAAGACCTGCCTAGAAGCATTTTTGTGACAGGTAGCTACAGGTAGCTGGAGGTAGCTAGTGACAAGGCAAGTGGCAAGGAAGCTAGTACATGGAGGCCATCGCTATTGGGTTCCTTTTGCCGAAAAGCCCCTCGCATGGGATGCTAAGAGAAATTGTTTCAGACACTGCCAGAACCCGAGCAATCCATGTCTGAATCCTCATTCCCACACACTCCAACTCTTTCTCGTTTCCCCCAAGGAAAAGGTGTACTTAAGTGATCTCCACCCACACATTTGCAAGCAGCAGGAAGCATAGGACGCTTGATAAGAATGTGTGATACTGGCATTACAAGGTAAGCCGTTTGGTAAAGAATCTCAAGACGCGTGGTATGACACTTGTCATGATGCATGTCTTTGTGTATGACTTGTGGTTTGGCGTATGAGGTTCAGTATGACGGTCGATGATGTGTCGCATTTGGTGCGTGAGATTGGGTGTGACACTTGACGGTTTTTGTGTAAGGTTTGATTGCTTGCTGTGGGTTTGATAAGATGTTTGGTGGACGTTGGGTGTTGTAAGGCATGACATGTTGTACGATGTTTCTCGTTGGACGCTTGGTACGACGTTTGGTATGGTGCAAGGGACGACAAGGAGTTTGCACAGTTATTGAGATTCTCGATGAGACTATTCTTGTCAACTGACTCCGCCGATTGGTGGGATGGCCTTGCATCCTGATTGCTTCCGCAAGTTGCAAAGCAGGTTCGTGTCAAGACGTTGGTCACAGGATTCAGCCTTGGTCACAAGCTGATTGACTCCACTGACTGGGCCGATGCACTTCCGAATAGAAACGAGAACAGCATGGAAAACCCTCGGGCCATTTCACATCACCTCCTGCGCTGACACTTGAGGAGTCGGAGCCCGTTGTCTCCGTTTGTTTGGGCAAAAAACCTCGACATTCAACGTGTCTTCTCTCGTCGCAATGCGGAGCTCGAGCGAATGTGACATCGGGTCACCTTGCACCCGACGATTTCAGAGTCGCAACCAGGTTCCTGCTCCAGTGCAGGTGACTGGTGACTGGTTCACGATGTCACACGAGGTCGAGTGCAGTTCAGAGGGCTGTGAGCATCCGTCTTGCGTGTACCATTGTACGCATTTGTGGTCTATTGTGAGATAGGGAAGAAAGAGGACACGAAGACAAGGAGAGAAAAGAAGACGAAGAACAGGAGAGCAGAAAAGAGAAGAAGAAAAATGAACACAAACATAGGGGAAAACATATTCGCTTAGGTTGGAGGCCATCGCCACTAGGTTGGAGGCCATCCCTAGTAAGTTGGAGGCCATCGCTAGTAGAAACAAAGAAAAAGAAAAGGAAGCAAGGTCTAGTATAATCGCACATATTTAGCTACTAGGAACAAGTGCATCGCTACTAGGACCAAGGGCCTTAATACTAGGAACAAGAAGCTAGTAGGAAACAATAGAAACAATAAGACATCTGGACATCAGCTACTTGGAACAAGTGCATCGCTACTAGGAACAAGGGCCTTACTACTAGGAACAAGAAGCTGGTAGGAAACAATAGAAACAATAAGACATCTGGACAAATAGAAACAATAAGCTACTAGGAACAAGTGCATCGCTACTAGTAACAAGAATTATAATTAAAACAAAGAAAAGGAAGCAAAAGGAAGAAAAGGAGGTCTAGTAAAATCGCACATATTTTCTCCGTAGACCAGTTGGTCTTTCAGAGTCCCCGTCGTTTCTTCGTTTCTTCTCAGGTTTTTGACACGAGCGTGAACCTTTCCGTGCAGCTCTCAGTCTTGCTTAGTTTCTGCATCAATGTGTCATATGTTGAAACAAAAACCAAACGAAACAAGGGAATTGGAAAGACAAAAGAATGGTTTTAGAGATTTTCGGACAAATGTTATGCACTTTGAGGAGCTTAGTTCCTACAAGTTTTGGTTTTGATGTGATGTTGAGGGTATTCCAATCCGAAACCTGATAGAAGCGGCAGCGAGGTGAAGATCACCACAGTCGTGGCAAACGCTGTCAATATACAGCGCATGCCTTTGGGAGTCGCACCACAGGTGCGATGTTTCGTGGCGCATCGTTTCGGCTGAATGCCGACTGGCTCCTAGTAGCTTCTTGTTACTATTAGTAAGGCACTTGTTACTAGTAGCGATGCACTTGTTTCTACTAGCGTCCTTGTTACTAGTAGCTTCTTGCTCCTAGTAGTACGGCCAGGAGCCCCTAGTAGCGTCCTTGCTCCTAGTAGCGTTGAGTTTCAATGGAAGCAGTGTCACATCCGAGTGTTCTTATGTCTCCGAAGCTGCAAGGCATACGTGTGGTGCAAGCACTCCAAGTCATTGGTCGTGTATCCGGAGGTTGCTTGGCGAGATGCACACATTGTTTATGGCTGTGAATTGCTGTGCTTTGCTTCTCTTTTGTGTACCCTTCAGGATGGAGCAGGTGTGGCAGTCACTCTGGGAGTCCTAGCCGCGCCCAGCTTTCAGTACTCTATTCTCAGCAATCCAGCCACGCAGGCCAGGTGACAAATGTCAGGCCTTCAAGTACTTCACATTCTTCCTTTACTAGGAACAAGTACATCGCTTCTAGTAACAAGTGCCTTACTAGTAGTAACAAGAAGCTACTAGAAACAAAGGGCATCGCTACTAGGAGCGATCGGACGCTACTAGGGGCTCCTGGCCTTACTAGTAGTAACAAGAAGCTAGTAGGCTACTAGGAGGCTACTAGGTTTGTTTTCGGCCTGGCGGGGGTAGGCCGCTTGAGGGAGGTAGTAGCTAGTAGGTCGCTTTTTGGAAGCCAGGTAGATAGTAGCACGGGATACGCTACTAGCATGGATGGACGCAGGATAGCTTACGCACGACGATTCATTTGGTTCCGAGATTTGTATGGAAACTTAACTAATAGCGATGGCCTCCAAATCAAAAGAGCGAGCAGAACAAGCAGAGCAGAGTGCTTTTTTGGCAAGTGCACTAGGTGATACTCGCCCGCAATGTATCATTTCCTACGCTTGCGGTGCTTTGGTCCAGCGCTGGCTTTCCAGCCTACTACTTTGACGAGGCTTCTGAAGTAATCACCAAAAAATGCATTGTGTTTAACAACTATCTGAACAGATGTACTTGAGAGTTTTGTTCAAATCCTCAGGTGGCATTTACCATCACGCCCACCTTACCGGATGGTTTGGACATCAGCTCACAGAACGGAGCAGCTTTGGCTCAAATTGTTATTATATAGCTGCTGTGCTTCTTGGAAACAAAGGCTTTGAAGAAATAAATAGAGAAAGAAAGACAGAAAGACAAGAAAACACAAATAGAAAATAGCAACAGCTTCAATTTTGCATCGCCAGGGTGTTAAACCAGAGCCCGTTCCGCTCCAGCTTCTGCCCCCAGCAGATTTTGTGATTAAGGCCGTTTCACCGTTTTTGGGGCGAGAGGTTGATGTCTCAAACACAACAAAGTGGCCAGATCGATGGTGCCGGTTTGCAGGCGCAGAGCAAGTACGATGTGCTGAAAGCTACAAGCACAACACTTCAACTTGGCGTCGAGGAGTCTTTTGGATTCTTGTTGAGGCTTTGGGGGATGTTATGAGAGAAGCAGCATGAAACTAGAAGCCCCAATGCTGTATTGCAATTTTGGTCAAGATCGAGAAGATTGCAATTTCTTCAAATCGGTCTGTCCAAGTTTTCAGGAGCCGGGACAATGTGGACTAGCCAGCATCAAGAGTACAGAGGTGCACAGGGTGGTTGTGTTCAGCAGAGCAACAACACTGAAATGTAAGAAACACACAGTGGTTTTGTATCGATAGAAGGAGATAAAAGAAGAGGTCTACGGTCTAAGAGATGAAAAAGGAAGGTAATGGTTTATGATAGATTCCTCTTCAAAGAGTGCTTCTCTACCAGACTTCTTCCGATTCCTAAACATCCAAGAAAGAACAGTTCAACCAGCATGTTGGCAATCTTGAAAAGGCGCTTCTGTCGTGCTTGGTCCACGATACACACAACCTGGAAGTGGAGGCACAGATGGAGATGGAGTGTCAACTGTTGTCGCCTCAAAATGTCCTGAGTGGTGGCGATGTCGCGACGCCAGGCGATCTACATCCAAGTCAGTTTGAAAACTGGAGACCCTCTACTCCTGGAGCACGTGCCCCAGTCTAGCAAGTGCAGGGTGACGATCAGTTTAGTATGTTTAGTTGGATCAGGTTATTTCACACAACCTGACCTTGACCAAAGGACATCGTCCTTCTCATGCCTGGGAACTGCCGTAGATCCTGGTGGAGGTGTGTGCTTTGTTGCTGTTTTGTTTTCCATCATCAAACTTTGAACAAGAATTGAATTCGGACTTCTTTGCTAGGCATGACGGACTTTTCTTGCTCACAGGCTGGAGATCAATGGTTTTTTTGTAAGCTCTTTGAACTGCTTCGCCTTTGCTTCAAACCTGTCTTTAGACAAGAACAGTGAACGAGTGCTGGATGTGTTTAAAGGCTGGCAGTGGCTGCTGCTGCTGGCTTTGGGTTGATCAACCGGGTGTCAACACTGTCTTCAACGCAACCAGGCACACGTTGCAAGAGAGTGACATACAAAAAGCTTGTGACGTTCAACAAGCATAGGTTGGTGAGTGGCAAGATGATGACCGGAGCCTGTGGTCTCCGAGCATACCAAAGGCTGGCCTGTTCTTCTAATACGATGGCCTCCAACCTCAAAGCGATGGCCTCCAAACTACATGGAACGCTCCAAGCTACCTCCGCGCCTACGCAATTGTTGGAGTCTATGGAGGTATGATGTCATGACCATGGTCACCGGTGTGAATCCACTGCTCGAAACAGCCCCAGAACAGAGCAAGCATGTTGAAAATGATGTAACAGAGCATGTCTCGCACTTGTCAAAGTACAAATGTGCCGTTTTGAGGCCAATGCAGCGACGGGCGTGGTTTGGGCATGGATCTTAGTGCAGCAACAGCAGGATCCTTCCCTAGACTATGAGGAGATTGGATGGCCAGCACCAGCTTAGGAGCAGCTGTTTGACTTCACTGTTCCAGAACGGAAAGATGCCACGCCTTTGGCCTTTGATATCAAGGCAGGCTCTTTTTGACCTTAAATGTTGCTTCTTCGTTCACTCTATGAGAGCGTCACATTTTCAGGTGGACATCAGCTATGAAGACATTTGCGATCCGGTGCTCAATGGCCCCGAAGCCGAGCTGCAGTGCAAGGAGGGGATGAAAGGATCAGTAGGTAGCATACTAACTGCAGTGGCCTCCAACCTAAAAGCGATGGCCTCCAACCTAGTAGAGCCCTGAGTGGCAAGCCCCCCATTTAGGCTTCCGAACTCGAAACAAGCTTCAAGTCAATTACTGGCTGTGCCACGACGCATCACTTGGACAGCTCAAAAGTTCAATCTCCTCACCACTGCAATGTTCGCAAGAAATTGTCTTGCCAGATTTTGATTGCAATTCCTTTCTCGGAAGGAGAACATGAAGGCGGAGCTTGCCGCTCTTCTGGGAACACCAGAGGACATGATCACCATCACTGCCGTGAGACCAGCATGAAGGAAAAGGTCGAAGAACACCTTGGCGCCAAAGAAAGCGCTGAAGAAAAAGCAAAGGCAGGGCCTGGTAAGAAAATTTGTGGTTTTCGTCGTGATAGTTGCCGGCTGCAAGTGCAAATGACAGGTCATCAAAACAAAAATGAATTTGGAATTTTTATTTCAACCCTCTGGAGGGATTTACATTGAGAAAATAAAATAATTTACACACATAAATGATTTGTTGATTATTCAAGATCCAATAATATGAATGAATTTAAAAAAATACTTCCATATTGATATTATATTGAAATGAATATTAAATTGTATATGTGTATAAAATTGTGTATTGATTGAGTGTTTTTGAGAAATTAGATTATTGAACATAGTTGGTAGATTAAGGTTGAAATGAATATTTGATGATTGGACGAAATGAATTTTTGAGCGAATAAAAAAAAATGATCGTAGAAGTAGTATTGTTATGTTTTGTTATATTTAAAATTATTGTGGAATTATTAGGATATAATATTTTATTGGATATAGATTTAAAAAATTATATGAAAATTATATTTTGCGATATTTTAATTAATGATATAAAAAGATTTGATGGAAAATAAGTTATATATTTAATTTATATTATATTGTATTTTTGGGAATTAGTTTATGTGTATTTGGGATTATTATGTATAGAATTATATTTTTTTGAAATATATATATTATGTTTGATTTGATTGCGATTCGTAATGGTTTATTAATATAGATTTAATTTTATAATAAATGCTTGATTATTAGGCGTAAAATATATTAAACGAAATTGAAGATATTTAAGAAATATTAATATAATTATAATAAGTTGGGATTTTTATTATGAAGATTATATTTATAGCACCTAAAATTATTTAATTTTATCAAATTCTTAGATTTATCGAACGCGGCCGTACGTAAATTCTTTTTCGTCCACTTATCGAATCTTTTCGATTTACTAACTACCGTCTTGGCAAGTATTATCGATTATCTTTATCGATTATTATCGAACGATTAGCTGGTTTATTTGAAGGTTTGATTCCAATGCTGGTTTTGTTATAATTTATATTCATTCTATTTTTGTTTTCGATTGAAATTGGTTGCTTGATTTTAAAATTCTTCTACCTATCGCTTGCTAAATTTCTTATTGGCATTGGTCTTTAATGTGCTTGATTTGTCGAAGACCCTAAATCTGCCTATTATTAATACCTTACGAAGGAAATTAGTGTTTATTGGTTTGATTAAATAATCGGTTAATATAATGGCTATTAAGATCCAATGATATTGAGGATTGCCCTCTACTTGCTCTTTTATCTGCATTACCTCAATGGTTTTCCTCCATTCTTGGCAATTTGGAATAGCAAGCTTGGTTACCAGATCAAACAATGATTTATAGTTTGTTGTAAACAATGCTTTTGACTGTCTCGTTAGGGTTTTCTCTGGTTTTTGCCATTGAAACTTGGCATCATTTATATAGGTTTAAATGGAACGGATCCAGATCAGCTTATTTAACGAGTTTGATATAGCATATGTTTCGGCACTGAGTGTAAAGAAGAGCCTGACCCTGATGATCATTGCAAATGAGCTGACTCCGACAAGAGCTCAGGGCGGTGATGAGGAAACAGGTTGGGATTTTACATTGTTGGTGATTGGAACATTGTGGGGTATTTCAGATCATTTGTTGGTTGCATGCTTGTTGGCGGCAGCATACAGCAGAACGTCATAACCACACAATAGAAGCACAGATACAAACAAATCGAGCCAGATGAACAAAAGCCACCAACACCACAGAGAATAGAAACCACCGACAGGCTTGAAGCGAGAATGCACAATGCAACCAATTCACCAAGAGCGGCAATGAAGGCATGGACCGAGCGAGACAGAAAATGCAGAAAGCTTGAACCAAAAATTCAATTGAAAGATGAAAGACAAAATAGAAGAGATGAATGATTACATGAGCAATAACGCCTGACAGTACAGCTGCCGGCAGGAAGTATCATTTGGAACCCCTGAATTCAGCACTGAACCAGACAACAGACCTCAAGAAGTACGAAAACTGCTCGATATGTCTGAACAGAATAATACCCTGTTATCGGCGCCCGTATGATGGAGGAACCTGATTACATAAGTTGTACTTTTTAAGCATGCGCTTTGTATACTTCCACCGGTATGAATTTGTGGCCCACAAACTGGTCACGAAAGCCGTGTGGTGTCCGCAACGGGTTCGAACTTGGGTTGAGTCATTTCCAATCGACTAGGCGAAACGGGTTGTTTTTTTATCTCCGCATTTTCAGTTCGTGTTTCTCGAACGCATTGGGGACCCAATCTTGATTTCTTGACCTAGGTCTTGAGAGGAACCTGGAGAATTCAATGAAAGAATCGGAATGGATGAATTTCTTCGAAAGCACTATCAAATCATGCAGAATTTGTCAGCCAAACCTGAACAAGATAGATTCAGAAAGAGTCCATCAACAATTTAAAAGCAATTTGACCATGCCTTCAATCAATGCTTTCAAGGGAAGAATAACGAAAGGTTTTGTTTAGCCCAGAGCAGTATACACGCAAGCAGCGCTTGGCAATTGTGGCTTTACTTGCCCTCGTATGCTCCTCCAGTGGTGCTACAAGACCGCTCCAGATTGAAGTCTTCTTGATGATATGACTGCCGGAAAATGTGCAGGAAGTCCAATGCATCAATCGTACCTCAGCAAAATTGGGCGTCCGCATTCAATGACCTGCCGGATACATCTGGTATTTTGAATGACCTCCAATCAAAGAATGACATAGGGTTGGTCAGATTCACCTTGCAGGATTTTTGTGTATCAAAAGGATAAAATTCCTCCCTGGCTCAAATGATCTGTGCGAACCCCCCCACGCAGCATCCGAAATGGACAAGCAACACAAATCTTTAGAGGTCCCAACAATTAAAAAATCAGGCCAACTCTTTTTCGTTTCCACAATCGAACAGGTCGCCTGGTCCTTGATTGGACTGCATGTTCACGATATGATTGACAGGTGATGGGAACGATGAGGTGTACCTCAGAAACTCAAACAAGCGTTCAATTTCCAATGTTGAATACAAATAGGAAAAAGAATTAGAGTTTGCCGCAACAAATAAATTGTATGTAAAATTCGAAGATGGAAATTGCAACATAAAAAAATCAAATCTATGATAACCATGACAAAGAGGCAAGAAGATGAACTTCGACCAAGTGAGATTTCTTCCTCGCGTGGGTTGTTGGCTGCATTGCAATGGTTATCTTGAATGGAAATTTCACAGCCCATTCCATGAATAATCCTGCAAATACCAAACCAGAAGATTTCCGCCATAAATTGGAATGTGCGGGTGACGCGCATGGATCGATTGTTGAGAGTATAGAAAAATACGACCTGTTTCAATTCTTGAAAAGTCACTCTTATAGGTTGCACAAGGATTGCAGTATTCTTCCTTAAGTATTTTGTTTGCTTCCATCAAGTCCGGTACCATTGCCTTTGGGATTTTGTTTGCAAATTTGCGGTGTCTGGCCATGAATGGACTGCTGCATTTGGGAGACTGCCATAGCATGCCCCCTCTATTGTTGCAATTCGGCTGGGGTTAATAATTGTTCATCTTTGCGTCTGGGCTTGTCCAGTCCACTGAATTTGAATTTCTTTTATTCTCTTTGTGCGAAAGGAAGGTGCTTTCGAATTCATTCAAGTGCTTTACGAATGTGATGATTCCTCCGCCAATGCCCGCATCTAAATGAATTCCTAAAATTCCTTCAAGCTTGTTTGGATCCTGTTCTGCAAAGGATGTGCTTCAAATCCCTAAGCTTCTAAACTTAGAATTCTTTGTGCAGCAGGATCGGAACATCATTTTTTTCACATGCATTCCCTTTCAATAAAAAAGTTCGTTTGTTTGAAGATTTAGCAACTTTTTGCAGTTGTGGAACAGGCTGCATGCAAGTGCGATGATCGCACCATCCTCTGGAATGCAGTTTTGATATCGAAATTCTGCAGTGTCCATTTTCGGCTGCTGATTTCTTGGCATCTTGGGACAATGTTGGTGAGTCCGTGCATACGGATGCTGCATCAAATCTTTTCATTACCAACCTGGCTTTTGCCTTTTTTCTGGAGGTTGAGTTGGGTCAAATTTCCATCCAAGTCAAAATCCCTGGAAGACATTAATCTGAAAGGATGGATTCTTTTTTTGAGGATGAGATGTTTCAACCCAACACACTAATTCTTTGGGTTTGATTTGCTTCTCGATTATTCTATATAATTCTTCTTTGCTGTTTGAATGATTCGTCGACATGAAGACATGAACATTCACAAAAAGGCGGACAATGCATGACACAGAATATCAAATTGAATCATAAAAAAATTTACATCTGTGATTGAGATGTCCTCAATTTCTGGCCACAGTGTTCAATTATCTTCCACGCTATGGAAAGTGTTGATGCAGTCAGTTGTATTCTGTGCAATCAAAAATGACATATTGCAATTTGTTTTTGAAAGGTGCTGCCTGCCACCAGTAAAATTCGATAAGCCTTGGTATATCTTCAATCTTCGTGAATCTTCTTCAATCCATCGAACTTCTACACCAAACGATTTTTTGAATTCCATCATGCAACATCCTGGCGTCAATGATATGGCATTGGCGAGAAAATCATTAGGTGCCCCAAGGTTCCCATGGCTGCTGAACAGGCCTCGCTTTCACATTGAGCGATGGTCGACTCACCCTTGGCATTTGAATCTTGCCCAGTCCAGGACAATGTAGTCCTGTGCTGAGCCATCTTCGAAGATCTGATGGTTGCAGAGGAAGACCACCTATTTTCATCTGTTTTGATGCCTGAATTTGGGCTCACACTTTATCAACCATGTCGCCGCTGAACAAAAAGCATTCGGCTGCAGCTTGCAACCTTCTCATTCCATCCCAACTTGCTCCAATCACCACTCACACATCATTTTTCACATCCATCACACACATTATTACACACCACTCATCATGCACATGTTGTCAAT